CTGGGGTTTAGTTCTGGAAGGCGCAGAAGAGAGGAAGAAAATCCAGTAACTACTCTGTGAATATCCCTCAGAGCACACAATCTGTAAACATATTTGATTCATATGCATGCGGCATGCACTAACAAACAAAATGGAGGAAAAAGACAAAACGTAGCTAGAGAAAAGGTAAACGAAAATACTTTGCACGGTGACCCACAAAAAGCCAAATTACACCCAGTTTTTTTATTTAAATAAAAAAAAAATCTATCATTTGTTTTTAGTAAAATGACAAAAAAAGAAGCTAAAAATTTGTAAATATCAAATAAAGAATGTTAATAAATTTTTTTTATTATTTGCAAATTTAGTATTGTCAATATCAAATAAAGTAATGTTATCAAACTTGATTTGAGATTTAATAATTTTGAGTTTTTTTTTGGTTATTCTCTCTTTGTTTTTTTTAATTAACATGTAATTGACCACAAAATCAGTTAACATATAATTGAGAAAGTCTACTCTTTATACATAACGCACTTATTCATCAATATAAGCTGCTTCTTTTAGATCCAGTCTTTCAGTCAAACTCCTGGGAGCTTAGATGTTAGATCACCTTATTTAAGATTTTAGAATTTTCAATTGTTCATCCACCTACCAAAGAACGAGGGGGAGTTCAAAACCTTTTCATCTTTTTTCACCCCACCTTCCTAGATTTCTGCCTTTCCTTTTCAAGTCCACATAAGCAACCTCAAAAAGTGATTTGCTAAAGATTTTCTTTCAATTTTTCATTCCAAGAGCGAATTTTCTTATTAATAAATACTAAAAGAACATGTTAAGTAAATTGATGTCTAAAATTTTTAATTATTTCTTCTTTCCAATATTGTCCTCACTTAAATATCATGGTTTTCACAACTTCAAATGCCTTTGAATTTTTTTAAAAGAAGTCGATCATTAAAATCTTAATATTTGTTTCATGAACTTCCATATCTGAAATTTTGAAGAAGAATTACATAAAAAAGATTAAATTTTCAAATACAATGGATATGTTAATTGAAGAATAATAAAATAGATAGTAAGAATCCACACCAGGCCGATTCCGGAGCTAATAAAAATGTCACAATAAATGTACTAGAAAAATAAGAGAAGAGAAAAGATAATCGACAGTTGTGTGAAGAGCAGGTTAAAGAAAAACTTCTTATTTATCGGGCCAGGGTGTCATTGTTTCAGATTAGGAAGGTATAATCTCTCTCATTTATTGTAAGATGATTTCCCGCTTGCCCCTCAATTCACAATCAAAAAATTAATGCTTGATTAATTTCCTAATTGGTCATTTTTCTTATTCCCTAGTTCTCTCAAAGGAATTAATGGTGATTTAATTCCTTTTCCTATTAGGATTCACTTGACTAAAAAGATTCCCTGGCCTCTGATCAAATAGTCTAGCTTATCAAGAACAGACCTAGACCTAAGGTCTAACGTTAGTTTATTCATATTAACATGAGAAAATTATGGTCGGCTTTTAATCATGGCAATCAACTTAACATCCGAATTTCGTAATCATTAATTATAAGAAAACTTGATACAACGTGGGAAAACAAGACTAGCTAGTATGATAGAATTATGCTGCATGTGATTCAGGTGGCGATATCTGATCACTTGGTGCAGTGTCTGTGAGGGAGATAATTGAGCACTCCACTCTACTCTGAGCTTCCTTTGCCTGCAGACAAACAATAACAAACCCCTTTACCTTATCGACGAACGAATGTGCATAAACACACACAAGCTTTTATATATAAATATATATATATATATATATATAAAATAATATAATATAAAATAAATTATGGAACTCTTTGCCTTACTTCTTTCTCCCAATCAGTGTGAACTGTGATGACCAGGAAAAATACCACTTGCAGTGTAAAAGCAACCACGATCCCCAACCACAGCCCCTGTTTCGCACCCAACACAAACACATGAATTTGTTTGTAGAATTAACTTATGCTTAGAATGATGCAACAAAACAATAAACAAAATAAATCATACTACCTCTGGTTCTAATTATAAGATCTTGTTTGTAACAAATGAGGTTTTATAAGACTGCAAATGGAGTCTTATAATTAAGATCAGAGATAGTAGTATTTGTGTGCATTACTACTAGTTTAATGTCACCTTGGCATTCATGTGCGCAACGAAAGCTAATATCACAGAACAAGGAACACCAGCAAGATAAAAGGATGCCAGGTTCACGTAAGCTCCAATCTTTTGCCATCCACATCCTCTCACGATGCCTGGAAATAGACCAACCATAGTCACACCACAAAAAATCACTTTTCCTCCACAAGTTTGAGTCGTGTTTTGCGGGACAATATGAGAAATATAGATGCGAGAATGACCTGAAAGGGCACTTTGGATTGCATCAAGGAAGCTAGAAATGGCCAGAACTGGTACCATGGAGGCCACATGTCTTACTACTTGATTGTCATTGCTATAAACTTGTCCCAGGAGATTTCGAAGCAGAATCATCAGTAGAAGTAATAACGTACCCTCGCTTAAGGCTATTCCTAACACCACCCGAACTGCTAAACTTGCAGCTTCTGCATTTCCTGCCCCTAGTTCATTTGACACTCGTGTGCTGTCATATTCAACCACCTCTTGTTAAAACTGATTTTCACCATCATAGAATTGGTCCTATATAGACTATATATATCATCACCTTACTGCAGCAGTGAAACCAAATGGGATCGTCCAAGCTACAGAGAACATATTGAGGCTGCAATAATAAATCAGAAACTTGTCTTGCTCATGGCTAGGAAAATAACATGGTAAAATTATGGTTTGGTAGCTGACCATATTGAAAGCACAGAAGTTTGTAGAGTTGGATTAGGAAGAAGGCCTGACAATAGTACCATCAGCTCAAACGTCCACACTTTCAAGCTGTCCAAAGTTCAAAAACAAAGTTCAACACTACCACATCAAACACAATTACAATCTTAGCTGTGACTTGAAACGTATACCAGATCATAATAGCAGAAGGAACAGCAAGTTTAAGGAAGTCAGGGACATTGTGGAGAGCCTTCTTTGAGAAACCCGTCCATGATTCTTTGCAGGAAGAGGAGAACCTCACATACAGTGCCATTAACAACACATTTACCCAGTAAGACACAGAAATTGCTATGGCTGCTCCTCGACTTCCAAGTCCAGATTTGAAAACCAAAAGCCAACAAAAAATGACGTGAAACAGAGCTGCAACTGCCTAAGTTATCATCATGGGCAAGACAATGTTTTGAGTTTGCAAGAATTTCATAAGGGATTGAAGGATGCCAAATGCGAACAGACTTGGAATCATGCAATAGGCATATGATCCTGCTTCTTTTGATATAAGTTTATCTTGCTTCATAGCCATAAGAATTGGTTCTGTGTTTGCCCAGATTATTGCAAGGAGCACACTGCTCAGTGAAAGAACGATCAGGGATCTTTGCATGTGTATGCCGAGCATGTGGTACTGTCCTGCTCCATATGATTGACCACAAAAGGTGTCCAGTGCACTCGCTAATCCCATCTGTTCAATTAATCACAAATTAAGTCAACAAACAACTAAAGTATTTTGAAGAAAGAAAGAAAGGAAAGAAAAAAAGAGTGTTGTTTGATTCTCTTAAATTTTCTCAAAAATTGACACTGTTAATTTTAAGGAGACCCGGTTCGCTTGAATGTTAAATGCCTTTGGTTTATCTTTGGCCTGAGAGAGACGGATCTATGATATGTAGAAATTGCTTGAGTAACAAAATTTAGACACTATTTGAAGGTAAAAAAAAAAAGACACTGTATTTCTTTCTTGTTTTTCTTCATTGCAATATAACAACATTTTTTAATTCTATATTTTACCCCAAAATCATAGTATACAATCATTTTTTACAATAATTTTTCTTTATTTCTCAATATAAAGACATTCTATAGGTGAAAAAAACAATATAAAGACATTCTAAATATGAGATAATAAACGAATTTTCAATTAATCAGTAGGTCTCAAATATTTAACAAGTAAACTCCGCAAGGTGTCAAAAAGGCACTGGGAGTTCAGAACATGCCAAGAAGAAATTCCATATATAATTAATGCAAGACAATATAAAAGTTCAGAAAACGGAATATAACGTTATGGGAAAAACTAGACGGTCGTGTATTGTGTTAACAGTTTAGTACGATGCCAAACATCTCATGTTCAAATATCGTCTTTGTTTCTCCCGTGGGCATGCAAGGAAAAAGACACAGCAACATAAGTATTAACAACGCAAACAGCATTTGGCCGAAACCAAAAAACTTATCGACAACATGGGAACACGAAGCCGTCTTATCATATGCTCAAGAATACTATTGAAAAACAAATATCCTTGGATCAGTCCCTTGCCATTGCAGGTGCCTCAAGGATCAGAGGAACCTTCCTTACCAGATCACTCAAAACTCAAAAAGCTCAGGAGAAAAGAATTGTTTGGTTCAAACACCTAAATCATTTGATCTTTGAATCTTGTCCTCCAACAAAGTTAAAAATTTTCAAGAACTGAATCGATCATAGAGTAAGACCCGGGGAAAGTTGCCGAGGAACAATCTCAGAAAATAAATGATGATGTTTGATAATAATGACGTTATTTGATGGGAAAAGTGAGAGAGAATGCATTTACCAGCAAGTTGAAGCCAGTGACAGAAACGAAGGAGGTGGCCATGGAAGCAGCAGAGAGAGGAAGTGTACCAAGATGACCAACAAATACGACAGAGATGGTTTGCAAACTGTACTGTAAGAGACCCACCGAGGATGGCTTCTTCGCAGGCCCATCATGTCTTCTTTTTGGTTTCTGATTTCTTCATTCATGTTTATTAGCGTTTCCAAAGAGGAAGTGAGAAAGATAACTCAACATAATAAAGGAGTTTCTGTTGGGAACAGTTAATTCATTTCAATATTGGACGTGCCCACTAGATCTTGCTGAGCTAGTGTCCGCAGCATTTGGCTTGGATCAAATATTTTAGCCATGAGCATTCACAATTTTCTTCTGACAATCTCTAACGATTCTGCAAACAAAATTATACTACCACGAATCCTTAATATAAGGCCTTTTTTGACTTTTATTTACTCTTAAATACAAGACCCCAATCCACTTTGTCTCTAATATATATATATATATATATATTTAAAGATAGTGCTTCTAACAATGATAATTTTAGCCAATACACTTGATTAGCAAGAATATTTTAGAAAAAATAACACATATTTATTACAAATAATTAACTTAACTTCTTTCTTTACTCTATTCAAATTAATCAACTAGCTCTTATAATTAGAACCGAAGGAAGTAATCATGAATACATAGTAGAATTCAAACAAAACTTAAATATATCATATACAAACATATATGATATATATATCTATAGAATGCCAAGTTTAAATTCCAGCAGAGAGTCAAGTTGAAAGCACACGGCGAAATGAAATCCCGAATCAGTGTTGCAAACGCCCGCCTGCCACGGCTATCGAGTCCCACATTGATTAGATACCATAGCTTCTAGACAAAGGGCGGATATAAAAGATTAACGAATGCACTTAACAAGGCATACCTTTCTCGGCCTTTTGGCTAAGATCAAGTGTAGTATCTGTTCTTATCAGTTTAATATCTGATACGTGGGCCATTGGCTCACGTGATATTAAATTTATTTTTTTAGGGGGATGGTCCATTACGGTAGCTTGCTACTGGGATCCTCGAGCGTCGCCCCTGCGTTGCACTACAGCAAGGGCCAGGCGCACCCCCCCCAATCCTCAGTTTAACATGTTTATCTGGTCTAATTTAGTTAATGCTTCTCATGTTAATAAATATCACGGCCCGAAGCAGTTTTGCCGAATAGTACCCCGGTTCTGTGGTGGTAAAGTAAACAAATGGAGACATCTCCAGAGGTTAACATTGTATTCTTTCTTTTTCAATCGAATACCTCTTCATTTGTATTTATATTTTTATTATAATAATTGTTTCTAACTTAAAAGTTACGCTATTCTTTGGCCAATTTCAATTGTTTCCCTTAATCTTTTTTTTCTTTTTTACGTTGTATTATGAATTTCTGAATCTCAAATTTCTAAATAATTACGTAAAAATTTTAAATTTTAAAATATAATGAGTATCTTAATATATTTTCATATTGACATGTAAAATTAAAACTAGACATTAATTAAGCGAATCAACTCAACATCTCAATGCGGCAATTATTAAAAGGCTTGATACAAAATGAGGTAAAACTAAATTCAATATAGGATATCTTGGCCCAACAAGGCTGGTTTATATGTGCAATTGGTCCGTGTTGTTGAGATGGTAATATTTGATCACTTGGTACAGCGCCTGTGAGGAAGATGCTTGAACACACTGCTCTACTCTGAGCTTCCTTTGCCTGAAGACAAAAAACAACAAATCCCTTACCTTGTATATGGAAGCAAACCATAGCATACATATGCATATGCACACAGACCCAAGGTTATACATAAATATATGTATACACATATAAATAGAAACGTTTGTGTATAATTATAAACGATGGAGCTCTTTGCCTTGCTTCTTTTTCCCAATCAGTGCGAGCTGTGATGACAATGAACAATACCACTTGCAGTGCAAAAGCAACTACGATTCCCAACCACAGCCCCTGTTTCAGCCAACACAAACAATTGTAGAATTGTGCTCAGAATGATACAGCAAAACAATGACCAAATGAAGAAACAATAGTTTACTATTTACGTGTATTAATCCTAGTTTAATTTCACCTTGGCATTCATGTGCACAAGAAAGCTAATATCACAGAACAAGGAACCCCAGCAAGATAAAAGGATGCCAGGTTCACGTACGCCCCAATCTTCTGCCATCCACACCCTCTCACGATGCCTGGCCATATATACACCATACTCGAATTTACATCACCTTCACACGTTTTGCTTTAATTTTAAGGACAATAGTACCATCAGCTCAAGCGTCCAAACTTTCAAGCTGTCCAAAGTTCAAAGACAAACATCAACGTACAACACCAAATCAAACACAATCACAATCTTAACTGTGACTTGAAACTGATACCAGAGCATAACAGCTGATGGAACAGCCAGTTTAAGGAAGTCAAGGATGTTGTGGAGCGCCTTGTTTGAGAAGCCCGTCCATGATTCTTTGCAGGAAGAGGAGAACCTCATATACAGTGCCATTAATACCACATTTACCCAATAAGACACAGAAATTGCTATGGCTGCTCCTCGACTTCCAAGTCCGTATTTGAAAATCAAAAGCCAACAAAACATGACATGAAGCAGAGCCGCAACCGTAGAAGTTATCATCATGGGCAAGACAATGTTCTGGGTTTGCAAGAATTTCATAAGGGATTGAAGGATGCCAAATGAAATAGGAATCATGCATAGGCATATGATCCTGCTTGCTTTTGATATGAGTTTATCTTGCTTCATAGACACAAGAATTTGTTCTGTGTTAGCCCAGATTATTGCAAGGAGCACACTGCTCAATGAAAGAACGAATATGGATATTTGCATGTGTATGCCTAGCAAGTGGTACTGTTCTGCTCCATATGATTGACCACAGAAGGTGTCCAGGGAACTAGCTAATCCCATCTGTTCAGTTAATCACAAATTAAGTCAACAGATAACTAAAGTGGTTTAGAGAAAGAAAGAAAAGAAAAGAAAACAAAGAGATGTTTGATTCTCTTAACTTGTCTCAAAAATTGAAACTGTTAATTTTAAGGAGACCAACTTGTGTTGTAAATGCATTTTTTTATCTTGGCCTCAAAGAGAGACAGATCTATGATATTTAGAACTTGCGTGAGTAATAAACTTCAACACCATGTTTTTTCTGTTTTTTTTTTTTTTTTTTGCGATAGACTCTATTTTCAAGTATCAATTTTACTCAGCAATCATATGTATACACTCGTTTCTTTTCCCAACAAATTTTCATTATTTATCATTATGATAATATTCTGTGCATGAGATGATAAACTGGTTATCGATTTATTCGGAGTTCATATATTAAATAAACCCTGCAAGCAGTCAAAAGACATTGGGAGTTCAGAACATGCGAAGAAAAAAATTCCATATACAGTTAATAGTATTGAAAAGGTCATGTGGTCGGGTATCAACACTTCAGGAAAATGCCAAATATCTCATGTTCCAAAATCGTTGTTGTTTCTCCCATGGCATGCAAAGCAAAGGACACAGCAACATATTTATTAACAACACAAGCAGCATTTGGCCGAAAACCGAAAAAAACTTATCAACAAAGATCCTTGGATTAGTCGCTTGCCATTGCCAAGGTACCTCAAAGATCAGAGAAACGTTCCTTCCGAGATTATTCAAAACTCAGAAAGTTCAGGACAAATGAACTCTTTGGTCTTTAAACACCTGAATTACTTGATCTTTGAATCTTGTCCTCCAACAAAGTTAACAATTTCAAGAAGTGAATCGATCCGAGAATAGGATTCAGGGAAAAGTTACCGAGGAATAATCTCAAAAAATGCATGATGAAGAAGTTTGACAATGATGTCCTTCTTTGATGGTAAAAGTGAGAAGGAATGCATTTACCAGCAAGTTGAAGCCAGTGACAGAAGCGAAGGAGGTGGCCGTGGAAGCAGCAGAGAGAGAAAGGGTGCCAAGATGACCAACAAATAGGACAGAGATGGTTTGCAAACTGTACTGCAAGAGACCCACCGAGAAGAGAGGAAGTGCCAGGCTTAGTTGTCTCTTAGCTTATTCCATTACTGTGTAACTTCTTCGCAATCCCATGATGTCTTGTTTTTCGCTTGCTTTCCGATTTCTTCACTGTGAGTCTTCTCGAACTGCTTCCACTTGTTAGTGTTTCCAAAACAAGAAGTGAAAGAGATAAGTCGAAACATCATGCAGAGAAAAACAAACTACGGTGGTGGCACCACTTGGTTGTCTTCATTCATTTCAATAACTAGACGTGGACGAAAACCACCGCATTAGCTAAGCTGAGGGTCTGCAGTATTTGGCTTGGGTCAAGAGGCGTTTCTTGATTCTGATCACCTTAATTAATTAATTCATGTCATAACTCTAATGATTCTATTGTTTTAAAGGTAATAATAATTAAGTAGAAAAAGCATGCATTAATATGTATACAGCTGGCCAAAATTAATCAAATGCACCAGGGCCAATGCCGATCAATGGGGCCTGATGATTATATATATATATATATATATATATAGATATAGATATAGATATATTTATCCGCCTTAGCTTAATTAATTTAAAAATTGTTCAAGGCAAAGGTTATCAGATATGATGATTTGTCTTCCTAAAGTTTAATATCGGCAGGTCTTTTACTCTTTTTAGCAAAGAAATCAGCACGGCTCCTTCAGAATTGAAATACGTTATTTGGAAACTTTCCAATATTGAAGGCCCAATTTGAGTCTATAGTATTTGGCATTGATCTTACCTTTTGCAGTGAGGCTATGCTCAATGGTGGCTTTTAATTTATTGTGGCTAGGAGCGTGGTATTTTATTCATCATTATAGTGGATGGATTCATAAGTAGTCTGCTGATTAAGCTGAACTTCTAAATGCATAACTAGTCTATTGATTAAGCTGAATTTTTTCTCGACCTTCTTTTATTGAATTGCCACCATCAAATTTTCCTTCTCCACGGTACGATGCACACAGGAGATTAATTTCATGCAAGGACTGTAAAATGCGCATGAAATTGAATATAACGGTACACAAGAAAAATTTGGCAAGTCCCCCGGTGGCGCGCACATGAATCTGAAAAATGATCTAAAAAATGTTGAAGTACGTCCCCAAACAGTTCTGCTAAAAATTAAATTACAAATAGATATGAGGAAGGTGGGACGAAGGAAGATAAAGAATGTAGTACCACATTCAACTCTTCATTCTCTCCATACCTTATTGACTTACTTACAAAGGGTCAAACTTATAATTTTCATCTTGCCATGGAAGTTTTTCCTTTGCAGGTCTTCTCTGCCCAGAGTGCTGAAGAACTTTACAAACTAAAACTCAAATGTTTGTTTCCGGGGGAGGGCCCATTCCAGATTTCCAGTAGCTTGCTGAGATATCACAAGTGTAGAGCAAAGAGAATCATGCTCTCCTTGAAGTCTAATATTTCACAAGTTGAAGTCCTGCCCTTCCGGAGTTTTAAGTTATAAATTCTCAGAATAATCTTGCCATAAAAGCTAGTCCCACACTGAGGAGCGGAAAAGGCAACAAAGCGTAGGGCAAGTATAAAAGATTACCGAATGCACAGTACAAAACATGTCTTTCTTGGCCTTTCGGCTAAGATCAAGTGTCGTATGTGTTCTTATTAGTTTAATATCTGACAGGTGGGTCATCGGCCCACATGATATTAAATTTATTTTACTCGGGGGAGCATCCATCACGGTAGGGATTCTCAAGCGTCGCCCATGCGTTACACTACTGCACTTCCCTGGCGCACCCCACCAAGCCCATTTTGGCCAACAATACCTGTTTGGACTTGTGGGGAGATTCAGGCCCTAAGCTGTGTCTGATATAGGGCCCGCTACAGCACCTCATTGAGCCCAACTATGAAACTCTTTGGTGTAGGCTCAGCGGTCGTCCTTAATTTTAGGATGCACATAGTTGGCGCATTAATCCTGTCGATGCTAGAGCTCTGACATCAATGGGGGTTTAGGGTGTTGACGGTTAGGCTGTTGACACAGCTAGCGGGTCTCTGGCGAGGGTTGTTTCCTTTTTTTCATTTTTCAATGGAATATTTTGGTAATTTTGTTTGAATTTCACAATTTTAATTTAAGTTAAGGTAACTCATAGGGATTGTGTGCATGGTTATTAGTATCGTGCGATTCGCGATTCGGATCGCACGATACGCTACAGATTGCACACTGGGAGATACGAATCTCCCAGTGTATCTCATTGCCGTCTGAATCGCGCCATGAATCGCGCGATTCACGCCGGAATCGTGCGAATCGCGCGACGCCGGTGGATCGCGCGATTCTGGACGTTGTCGGGTCGCGCGGATCCGACCCGGATCTTTGCGCGACCCGACACGGTAATACCCCCTTTTTTTTTTTTTTTTTCAATTTTTTTGTTATTTAAAGGAAGAAACTGCTGCAAATTGAATTATAAGCATGTGAAACCCTATTTTTTTATTCCCATATGCTCTGTTCTTCACGTTCTGTATCTTGTGCCCCACGGTTGCATTTTTTCTCCTCTTCTTCTGGTCCTTTTTGGTCGAAAAGTAATAAAAATTGAAGGCTGTTGCTGACTTGCTGGTTGATTGGGGTCCATTCTACTCCTATTTGGTAATTTTTTCCTGCTTCTTTTTTGCTTCTATTGGATATTATATTTGTGAAGGTAGGAAAAATGAGTCAGACTCAGAATAAGAAAAAAAAGGAAGCTGATATTACATGGAATCACTGTGAAAGTGTTCCTCCCCATAGACTTATGGTTAAATGCAAATACTGTTCACATCAATGTTGGGGTGGGGTAGCTAGGATGAAACATCATTTGGCTGGAACTAGAGAGAATGTGAGTCCTTGTATAAGTGTTCCTGATGAAGTGAAAAATTTGTTTGTTAAAATGTTAGAAAATAGAGAAAAAAGTAAAGATGCCAGTAGTGTTGAAATATTTGAAGAGGCAACTGCTCAAGATGCTAAGGGGAAGGAAGGGACATCAAAAACTACCAAACAGAAAACAATGAATGAGATGGTAAAAGATAGAGAGTTAGTAATTCAAGATATTTGTAAATGCATCTATGGTAATGCTTTATCATTTAATTTGGTGAGAAGTCCACTATTCATTCAAATGTTAAAATCTGTTGGTGAATATGGTAGGGGTTTGAAACCTCCAAGTTATCATGAGGTGAGAGTTTCTCACTTGAAAAAAGCAGTTGATAAAATTCAAGAAAGTTTAGCAAAGTATAAGAAGGAATGGGAGAAATGGGGCTGTACCTTGATGTGTGATGGTTGGACTGATGGTAAAGGAAGGTCTCTTACTAATTTTTTAGTTAACAGTCCTAGTGGAACAGTTTTTCTAAAGTCAGTGGATACAAGTAGTGTGATTAAGGATGCTAAACAAATGTTTGAATTACTAGACAATCTGGTTGAGGAAATTGGGGAGGATAATGTGGTGCAAGTTGTGACAGATGGTGCGTCAAATCTCGTGGCAGCAGGGAAGATGTTAGAAGAGAAGAGAACAAAATTATTTTGGTCCCCTTGTGCAGCACACTGTCTTGATTTAATCCTTGAAGACATTGGGCAACTTCCAGTATTTTATAATACCATCACCAATGCAAAGAAAATAACAACCTTCATTTATAGGCATACATGGGTCCTTAACTTGTATAGAAAGTATTCTAAAGGAAAAGAATTAGCTAGACCAGCAGTGACAAGGTTTGCAACAGCTTATCTTACACTAAGTTGTATATTGCGACAAAAAAATGCTCTTCGAACCATGTTTGCTTCAGATGATTGGACTTCTAGTACTTTTGCTAGTAAAAGTGAGGGCAAGCAAGTGGTGGACATGGTTTTTGGGGATTCTAGATTTTGGAGTTCCATCAAATATTGCTTAAAGTGTGTGAGTCCACTTGTAAAAGTTTTAAGACTTGTAGATGGTGACTCTAAACCTGCTATGCCATATATTTATGAAGCAATGGACAGAGCCAAAGAAGAGATTGCTGACAATTTTGAAAAGAAGGAATCAAGGTATAAAAAAATATGGAAGATCATTGATATTCGTTGGACTTTGCAATTACATAGACCCCTCCATGCGGCTGCCTACTTTCTTAATCCTAAGTAAGTTTTATACACTTTAAATTTTAAATATTATTGTTTAATTGTATGTTAGAACTTAGAAAAACATAACTTATTTGTTATTTTCGTAGGTTTCATTATGATGAAAAATTTAATGCGGACCAGGAAGTTTATTTTGGTTTATATGAAACTATTGAGAGAATGATTCCGGATAGAAAGACAAGATTTTTAGTTGATCAACAACTTGAAGCATTTAAGTCTGCTAAGGGGCTTTTTGGAAGGAGCATGGCAATAGATACTAGAAACAAAAAGCAACCTGGTACCATTCTCTAGTCTATAGTCTATTCTATTTAGAAGACTGTAATTTTTAATCTTAATAATAAATATGAATTTTTGAAATCATTTCTCATTATTGTATCTTTTTTTAGCTCTTTGGTGGGAAAGTTATGGAGGAGAGGGCAAGGAGTTGCAAAAGATAGCTATGAGGATTTTGAGTCTCACGTGTAGTGCTATTGGATGTGAAAGAAATTGGAGCACATTTGATCAAGTGCATACTAAGCGAAGAAATCGTTTAGAACAACAAAGGTTAAATGCACTTGTATTTGTCAAGTACAACCTTCAACTTGAGATGAGACAAAAGATTAGAGAGGAAAAAGGAGAGACATATGATCCAATCTGTTTATCAGATATTGAATCTGATGATGAGTGGATCACTGAAAAAGAAAATCCATGCTTCCCAGTGGACGGGTCATGGATGGACATACATGAGAGTTTTACTCTTGAGGAAGGAGCTCCAAGTAAAAAAAGAAAGAGAGGTATAATATTTCCAAGCTAAACTTAAGTTAATTTTTAGTTTAAATATATACCATCATACTTATTAAGTTTTTTTTCCTATAGGTCCAAGAAACTTGAATGCCAAAGCCAATAACAAAGGAAAATCTATAGTAAGACAAGAGAATGAGAATGAAGATGATGCTGAAGATGGGGAAGAGGAGGATGATGAAGAAGTGACATTGTTAATGAAGGATGATCATGAATTGAGTGACATTGATCTTGGAGATGATGAATGAGGAATTGAATTTTATGCTCAGTGATTTTAGTCTTTTTAAGCTAGGATTTTGATTTTGTGAATTGATTTTGAGGACTATTTGTCTTTAGAATTTCATATGGTGGCTTTTATATTTTTTTTGAGAGTCTAAAATAATTAATATTTACAAACTTTTGATATCTTTTTATACAAAAATTACTTATATATCATCCTTAATAGTTATTCATGAATCTTACGATTCACGATACGTTACGATTCAAGATTCAAAAAATCGGCTTTCCGATTCACGATTCGTATCTCGCTTTGATAACCATGATTATGTGATTTTGAAAACACATAAGAATTTCATAATTTCTAGGGTATTTAAATACTATTTTCTGTTTTTTATATGAATGAATTAGTTAAACTGATTTATGTTGTTAACCCGGGGGAGAGTAAGTAAAAATTTGGGTTTGTGCAAAATGTAATGCACAATTTTTCATTTTAACCCTCAATTAATGACATTTCTTTCTTAGCTCTTTTTCCCACTCATTCTCTCTCATATCTTTTTCCACACATTCTATCTCATTCATTATCTTCACGAATTTGGGTATTTTGAAAAAAACTAGGAAAAATAACCCAAAAATACCACTTGAATTTTAAAATACCAAAAAGTGATGCTAATATGTGACATGACAAATTGGTGATTGACTATCAAATTGACATTTTCAATATTTCGGGTAAAAGACAAAAGTATCCCTTAGAATTTGTTCTTTTTTTTTTTTAATGCCACCTAAGAACCTAGCCAGAGGCTAACCACTAGAGCTTCGGCTGCATGTTGCTGAAGTTTCAGTAACTACTCTTGTAAGGTTGTTGAATTTTTTTTTGTTAAACTATTGATCACTTTTATTTTTAGAGTTTCGATGACTACCCTTATTTAGGTATTGATTGTCTTTATTAAACTATTGACTATTTTTAGTTTTGGAGTTTTGATGACTACTCTTGTTTTTCAAAAATAGTAAATAATCACTACATCTCCAATGGCTTACTTTGAATTTTTGAAAGAAATGTAGTCAATATCAAAACTAAAATAGTCAATAGCTTTACAAGAATAATTAATAAAACTCTATAAACAAAATTAGTCAGTAGTGACAAGACTAGTCAATACCTTTACAGTAGTAGTCCATGAAACTATAGAATAAAAATAATCAATAGCTTAACAAAAATAGTTAATATCTTTATAAAAATAATCGCCAAAACTCCTGTCGACGACCTCCAACCAAGTGCTTAGGTGGCATTTAAGAAAAAGAAAAAGGAAAAAAATTCTAAGGGATAGTTTTGTCTTTTGCCCAAATATTGAAATGCCAATTTGATACTTTACCACCAATTTGTCATTTCACACATTAAAATAATCTTTTAGGCATTTTGAACTTCAACCGGTATTTCATGGAGATTTTTCCCAAAAAAAAAAACATTTATCTCTTATTCATTTATTACTTTTAACTAATTTTAATTACTATTTTAGTCATTGCTTATATTTTAGGAAAAATTACACACAGGTTCAAAGTAATACAATTCTTAAAATCTCAAGATGAATAGGTCCTAGGGATCTTTTTTTTTTTGGCTAAAGCATATGTATCTTTCTATTGGAGATAATTCTATTCGAAAGACTGTTGAGCAATAAATATGGGTACCTTTCCCTGTAGGGATTCGAACCTTGGCTCATCATATTGTAAGAAACTAGCTCCTTACTTTAGACCCAACCCCCGTTGGTGAGGTTTCATGGGATTTAAAAGTAATATATTTTGAATAAAAAACTATGTCATTGTCTCAATCTCGATTGATGAGCTCATGAAGTCAATGGAAAGCTATTAACAAGTTAAGGGTTGTTAATTGACAACTAAATTAATAGGATAATATAATATTCACATGAGATTAAATTATTACAAAAGAGTATTATATAACAATCTTTAAGCTGAAATCATGTGTGATCAAAGCATACATTCTAATATTACATGAAATGATAGATTTATATCATAATTTTATTGTAGACAATCATTAACAAACTTATGGGTGCGGATTAACAAGTTAATAGGAAGTTGTTCACAAGTTAGAAAGTGTTAGTTGAAAACTAAATTTATGAAATGATATAACCTCTACATAAATTATAACAAAAAAGTATAAGAATTTCTCTTAATTTTATCTTATGTAAATGTTATATTACCCCATAAATTTAGTTGTCAATCGACACTTCTTGGCTTGTTAATATGTTCCCATTGACTTGTTAATATATATCCATGAGTTTGTAAATTGCTGTTCATAACAAAATTATGATATAAATCCATCATTTCATTTAATATTAATGTACATGCTTTGGTACTACATGATTTCAACTTAAAGATTATTATATAATACTCTTTTATTATAATTTGATCTTATGTCTCATAAATTTAGTTGTCAATTAACACTCCCTGACTTATTAATAGCTTCCCATTAACTTGTTAATTCACGTCTATGAGCTTGTCAATCAGAATAGGGATAATGATGTACTTTCTTATTTAGATTTTATTACTCTCAGGTCCCATAGGACCTCCTATTCATTTTGAAAATTTCAGGGACCTTAAATTAATAAATTGTGTTGTTTGGGATATGTGTAATGTTCTCTATATTTTAGGTAATATTTTAATATATGCAATTTGGTTAGTTAGTTATTAAGTGAAATCTTTAAAAAGACACTTAAATAACCTGATTCCTTATTTAGATCATTGAATTTGTTAAAACTTTAATTAGATCACATGACTCAAAAAGGAATTTTAAAATTTTATGAAACGACTCTAATACCCTTCATTTGAAACCTAGAAAGGTAAAGATTTGTTATCACTCTTATGTTGTGTAAAAGCTCTTAACAAGAGAACAAGAGAAACTTGGTGTCTACTAATGTAAAGTTGAAAAATCAATCAAGGAGGCAATGGTGAGTAAATTTTTTATATTAAATATTCCTTCCTTAATCCTGTAAGTATGTTATGAAGATAAGAAGTTGTTAATTTGAAACATGTTAACTCTAAAATGGAATATATTGATTTTTAAGGTTGTATTGTGATTAAGTTTTATCCAAAGATTTATTGCAAATGTTATGGGGATGGAAAATTATGAATTTAAAATTAAAACATGTTAACTGTGAAACGGAACATGCTAATTTTTAAGATTACATTTTGTTCAAAAT